CAACTTGTATTGCCAATATATACAAAGATTGTTTCGCAAATGTAATTTTTTCTATAAACTTATTACGTGTATTTTTTGAGTAATACAAATGAGTTTGGCGTTCAAAGGCACTGGGTTACCAGGGCACAGTCACGGACGTTACATTAGTATTAGTATTTATTCTCATAGAGTATATAGAGTACAGGAGACGTATGAATGGCGCCGCCAACCGATATAAGGAAACAGAGAAAGTGGACAAGACGTCGACGTTCTACGAACTCTCAAATACATGCACATCACTTGCATGACACATCACGTATTTCCGTTCCAGTAAAACTTGCCGCAAGATATCCACAAAGCTATTTCACCACGAGAGTGTGCGAGCAGCATAATAATAAACAAGATGTCACGTTCTAGATACACGCTTTTGAGTTCAACATAATATAAATTCTACCTATGTTTTCAATTTCTTTCTAAACATTTCTCCAGATAATAAGTATCAGTCATTTTATGAATACTTCGTTTGTGTTTAACGTCGAATCTCCCCGGAGTTGAATGGATTCGCCCAATATACCAAGGCTGAAAGCCTGCGTCAACGGAATCAACTGTCCGTTGTACCATGTTCCACCGCAGTTACTACTCCAATTCAGTGGTGCATATGCACTTACCTTACGATATATAATTTCGGCTTCAGTTATTACATCAGTTCGGGATTTAAATCGTACGAAGACGAACGCTCGCGATTAGATAGTGATATGAAATACTGACTACGACTACTAGCGAAACGAATCGCGGACCCGTACGGTGTAGCGCAACGCCGTGTACGTCCACTTGTGTGAGGCGCCCTCGTATGTATGCTGTCGATTCCCGATATTGTCAACACACCAACAGGGGTTGTTATATAGTCGAGATACTGTTGGATTAGCTGTGCCAGAAATAACGTGCATACCCATTACGGAGAACTGACGTATTTCTACTGGTGTTAGGACCGCGTCGAATGGCAATGGTTAGCCGTTGTGACTGTGATGTTATCATTATCGGACTAGGGCCTGTCGGCGCAGTTACTGCCAATTTGCTGGGGAATTATGGTCTGGAAGTGAAAGTTTTTGAGAGAGATTTGGAAGTTTATAACCTTGGTCCAAGGTATTTAAATCATTTATTCAATACTAAACATCGCCGTAATGCATTATGTGTGGCCGTTTTTATTCACACTCCATGCACAAAGGCAGACCACGCTAACACAATTATGGTATTTCAGGGATCGGTTCGCGTAGGTGAATATTAATATTGCGTCGTATTTGTTCCCATCTTTGGGAGATTTTTTTATTCAATCATTTATTTATTTATATATATATATAGTGAATATTATATGCAGTGTGCGACTATGCAAAAGTTATTTTTAGATTCCGAAACGTTATTTTACAATAGCGCTGTTGCCATTCATTCATGCGATGATTTCTAAAACAACTTAACGTTCGTTCACCTATTCTATTACTGATTAAGTTTGATCATGGAGGTAATTATTGGTTTGATCCTATACACGCGTAAATGGTGGGATTTTACTTTATCTTCACATTGTTTGGCAAAAAACATTTTTTGTTTTTATTTTTTTTGTAAATAATGATGAGGAAGAGTAAATTAGTGTTTTGTGTGTATGTTAATAAATTAACATATAATTCGTGTGAGTGACTGGGGTAGATCATGTTAATAATTTCCATTACGCCAGCATCATCTTTCTTGGATGTTACGAAGTAGAGTCAACACTCAATTAATGCCTTCAACGATAGGTCAAAGGTCGTTGGGTCATCTCGAACTCCCCCTGACACATGTATCTTTTAGTAATCAATCCATATCATACACACTGCGTACTAAGTCCTGATTAATTTGGATGTTTACACCACGGTAAATACGTCAGCTTGTACCGTCCATTTATCAATTGTATCATATTTCTAGATTTTCTGTATCGCGGTGGAAACTTACTCTATTTGTATCTAAGGATAGATAGATCATTAAAAGCAGGCATCATTTATTGGTATATTTTATTATCTGATGTGAACCATTGTAGTATAGTTCTATACTTCAACTCGTAAATTTTATAAGCCTTAGAAAACAGTGACAAAGCGGAGTGTCGTGAAATAAATAAATGAATAATTACTGTTGATTTTAACCCGTACAAGTGTGGTTCACTCGATATTATGAGCCCCGGATCTTAAATAAACATCCTTCTGCTTCATACAAATATGAATGTGGTTGTTGTTGCCATTCTAGCTTCAATGTTAGCGAATTCCTTTATGTGTGACATTGTCGTCTCTGGTGTCTGAACATTGCATATCTGACAAAAAAAACGCTGTTCCCATGGTGACCAATTGTTGATATTTCAGGTAAAATGAGAATCTTTATCGTATTTCCTGGTATAACATGGTTATCAATACTAGTTGGTAGTGTTCAACATGGCCAGCAGATAACATCTTTGATTGCACTCTATATAAACAACTGTATTGTACTCGGAACATTTTTCTTCAAGTTAGCTGATTGATGTCTTTGGTTATAATTGTATGCGTTCTGCGCATACCCCATCCTAGTTACATTTTAGCAACAACCCATAATATACATCACTAGTACGCACTAGACTTAGAACTAATGTCAATGCTCGATGACACATATTCTATTTATATTTCCAATACGTCATTTTGCACAAGATGAAAAGCTTTCCAATAAATAAAATACCAGAATAATCAAGGATTTTAGAGCGGGATTACATTGTAAAATATCCGGGTTTTAAATGGCAGGCTAACATGACAGTAGTAACATCGACTGGGTCAGTTTTCACAATGTTCATGTTCGGGGAAAGCACGCACTCACATCATTTATTTTCATTGTGAGGACTTTACTCGTTGCCCCAGTTGTGTTACTTTGTAAATAACATTTAACGGGTGGTGTCCATTGTGACGTTCCCTGTTCGATATGGGTCTCATAAAATGTCGCCTAATTGGCTATTTGCGGTCTCGTGACGATATTGCAACGTACTAGTAAATAGTGAGTTGTGTTTTGTACGTTACATAAAGAAGACACAGCTATATTAAAGCGGTGGAGTCGTCACCTGTGCATGCGCAGACGTGTCGTTGTTCACAAACGTCACAAGCGTCTACCTGAACGAGAGGTCTCTATTGGCGGATTGATTAATCTAAGAACGTTTTAAAATGAGGTTGTGGTACACTGTGCTCGTTGATTGGCTAGTTTAATTCATATGCCATTGAAATTTATTAATATTTATAATGATGAAGGGAATGCCTTTGTTGCGCACACGCACATTGAAAGAGAAATGCACGTCGTGCTTGGCATAGGAATACATAATTTGTAGTAAAGTATAATTTTTCTTGACACTGTAGCAAAGTCAATAACAACACTGAATTTATTGAATTTTATAAGCCATGTTGATGAGTATGTATGCACAAATAATTTTATTAATAATAATAATAATAATAATAGTATTTGAACATATCATTTCTATAGTTACGTGTCCTTGGGTTATACTTCACAGCTACGCACTATCACACGGTGGAGTGTTATTCTATCGTTTCATTGACCCAGATCTGCAAAGCTGTTTAACTTTAAATTCGGTAACAGCAAATCGTTTAGCTATAGTGTATCGAGGTGTGTTACGTAAAAACAAAACGTGCATAAACTTTGAACATTCTTATACAATCAACTAAGTGTGTCGTCTACGTGTTTGTGCCTATAGCGATACGGCGCTCTGGGCTACACATCAGTCATGCTTTTTTGGCGTAAAACAAGTCAAAATAGGCAATATTACCGCGGATTAAATACGTAACACATGCTGATAACATATCCTATAACAATAATAAACTCCAACAGTGCCACGATTCTGCGTTCGCTTGATGGAATTGATTCGTCGTATAACACGGCGCTGTGGGTCATTCCTCATTGTCAAAATGGTTAAAATACGCCGCCCTGAAATCAAGATGAAATAACGTTAAAAAGTCGGAGCTATTCAAATTATTGCAAACGCAAGGCATTGGAAGTTATTTATTGAATAGACAGATTTGTCGATGTGTCATGTATCTATTCAAGAATTTAATTTGACCTATTTCTCTCTGACACATTTTTATTTTGATAAGACGCCTGGCATGCAATTCACGTTAACAATCACTGCGCCATTGATTGACGCTTTTATCTGCTTTTCCCAACATATGTCCACGAACGCTGCACTCATTCTATGCCTTTGAAAACACACAAACGAAAGGAATGAATGGAGCAACCAGTCCCTCTAAGTTGATTACCGTTTTTTAATTTGATGGATTATATAAATATGCAAATCTGTGGACTAATACTGTGGTATTGTTGTATATGTGTTATTGATATTCCCGTTAAACCTTCGTTTGGAATAAAAAAAAAAAGAGTGAACACAAACTACAATAGACAGTAACGACGTTTTTTGCAAGGGATTTGTGCAGCCAGATACTCTTTCTGAAATTCACAACATAACGCCGGCAGATGTTCACAACACATCGCTTCATTGCTGATTCACAAGGCATAGCGCTGTCAGGGATTAACAACGCATCTCTAAAAGAGAATCACAGTACATTGCGGACAGAAATTCACAACACATCTTGTACAGAGATTCGCATCGCTGATAGAGACTTACAACATATCTTCGACAGAAACTCGCAACACATCAATCCACCTCACACTCTGAACAAAGTGCAATGGCTATGACCAGTTTCATATTTAGTAAGATCCTGTAATCACGGCTTTTAATTACTTGGCATGTACTTCTGTACGAGCAGGTTTATATCCTACACTCCAACAGCGACATTATTTCAAACTGTACAAAAATAATTCTGACGTTATCTAAAATGTATGCATCAACACATTTAATTTGAAAACAAAGATAATATTATCGTTTTTAATACTGTCCCACTGATAGTCACCACTGGAGCACTCAAGACGAAACGCTTTCTATTACATGAATCGGCATTCTGAAAAGTGAAAGATATTGCCCTAATTTAGTTATCCAATAAATGTTCAATAACATTGTCCTTATTTAATACCAACGATTTACAAATAGTGTGCTATCCTCCATACTTGAAAAGAGATGCCACTAGGGGATTCCCAACTAGAAAAACAGTTCCTAAATTAAATTAATACCATTTGCTCATATCATGTCACCAAGCAATGATTGCTATGAAAACATAATCGCTTTAATAGACCAGATGCAGGTTTCATCCGGTATTTTGTTCACTGTTCATCTTCGTTCGTAGATAGTCAC